GCTGCGAGGGCGGGACAAAGGAGGCGATCTTCTGCAGCGCGGCGACGATCTGATCCGCCTCCCGTCCGCCGCTGTAGTCCTCGGCCACCCCGTTTCTGAAGAGCTTGAGCGTCGGGTAGCCGCTCACGCCAAAGCGGCCAGCGAGGTCGCCGTGGGCGTCGGCGTCAAGTTTGGCGAGTGGCACAGGTGTGTCGAGCTTCTTCGACTTGGCGGCCGCCTCGGCCCACTTGGGCGCGAGCTCTTTGCAGTGTCCGCACCTAAGCGCGATGTCCTGGGGTCGCAGCGGCGGTGACGACGGTGGAGGCAGCGGCAAGGTTGCAGCGGTCGAGGAGGCAACGGCAAGGAGGCAGCGGTGCGCGACCAAGGCGAGTGTCCGCGCACCAGGGAGCATAAAACTCGACCAACGCGAGCGGGTTCGTGGAGATGAACGCGTCAAAGTTTTTCGTGTCGAGCACGACGACGTCCTCCTCCTCGGGAAACGCGGCGGCGGCCGCACGAGTGGCGAGGGCTAGGACGAGGAGCGAGCGAAGCAGCGAGCGCATTGTGTGGTGTACGACGGCAGTAGACGGAGTGCGTCGTGACTAAGCGGGAAGTGACGTGGCGGAAGATAGAAAAAGAATTTAAACAATAACTCTCTGTAGAAAAAGAATTATACAACAAAAGGCGGTCGCACGACACGATTCACGCGACAGGCGAGGCGCGGGCGACGGCTTCCTCAGAAGCCGTCGCCCGCACCACAGGAGCTGCACGATCTCCAGGCGGGGGAGGCGGTCAGCGCCGCCTCCCTGCCGGTGCGGGCCGTCAGCGTACACTGTGAAGCCATGCTGCCCTCCCGAGGTCTCTGATAAGAGAAGGTTCCCGGAAGTCTCCACTTTCTGGCGCTTGGCTCGGTCCCCCGCGAAAGACACCTGCGGGGGCGCAAGCGCGCCGCTGACGCCCGAGGGGGCAAGGCGGCTCGCGGCAGCTTCCCATGCCGCCTCCGCCTCCACCCACTCTCCACCCCGACATCCCCACCCCACCCCACAACCCCGCCCCCCCCCGACCCGAGCAACCCCGCCCCAACCCGACCCGACCCGATCCACCCCGCCCCGCCCCGCCCCGCCCCCCCCACCGGACCAACCCGCGAGCCGCTCCCGGCTCCGCCCCTCGCCCAATCCCCACCCGCGCCTGCGCCTGCCACCCGCGCCGCCTCCCCGACGCGCGCACACGACGCCAGCCACCTCGCCCGCCGCCCCGCCCGCGCGCCCGCCGCCTCGCCCGGCCTTCGCGCCCGCTCGCTCGAGCACCGCCCCCGCCGGCGTTCCGACGGCCGCCGCCCCGCCCGCCGCCAATCCCGTGGCCTCACCAAAAGAAGAGAACGGCGTGCCGGCCACGCCCGAGACGAGCTCGAGCGAATTACCTCCGACAGTCACGACGTGGGCACGTCCAGGATCAGGCAGCGAGCGAGGGCAGCCGCCCTCCCCACCCAGCGTTCCGACGGCCGCCGCCTCGCCCGCTGCCAATCCCGTGGCCTCACCAAAAGAAGAAAACCACCCCGAATTCTTTTCTTGGCGATGCCCACCCCGCCGCGCCGCCGCTCGCGCCGCCTCGCCTCCGCCACCACCGCCGCCCCCTCGCCAGACGCGCCGCCGCCCGCCCGCCTCCTCGACCTCCCCAGGGAGCTCCTCGAGCGCGTCCTCTCCCGCTTCGACAGCCCCCTCGACATCGCTCGCGTCGCGGCCGTCTCGCTGCTCTTCCACGCCTCGCTCGCGGAGCAGGGCATCCGCTTGTGGGCGCAAGAGCGCGGCTTCGAGCTGCCGGCGAAGCCAGAGGGCGAGAGCTGCGCCGTGCGGTGGCTGTGCTATTCTGCGCTGCTGCACGAGTCCAACCCGCCGGCGAGGGCTGCGGCAGGCAATACGCACAGCGTCTTCATCGACGGCGAGGGGCGGCTCTCGTCGTGCGGCTCTGCGCCGTGGTTCAGCCCAGGGGTACTCGGCCACGGCGAGGGCGTGCCGCAGCTCAACAAGCCGACCCGCCTCCCTTCTCCGCTGGGCGGCGAGCGCGCCGTGAGCGTTTCGGCTGCAGTCTACCACAGCCTCGCCCTGACCGCCAACGGCGCCGTCTGGAGCTGGGGCCGTAGACACGAAGGCCGGTTGGGCCACGGCGACATGCAGCACCAGCTGCTGCCCAAGAAGGTCGAGGCCTTGGTTGGCCAGCGCGTTGTCGCCGTGGCGGCGGGAACCGTGCATACCATCGTCATCACCGCCGACGGCTCCGTCTGGAGCTGGGGCGGTGGAGCCTCTGGCAAGTTGGGCCACGGCGACGAGCAGAACCAGCTGCTGCCCAAGAAGGTTGAGGCCTTCGGGGGGCAGCGCGTCGTCGCTGTGTCGGCTGGAGACAACCACAGCCTCGCCATCACCGCCGACGGCGCCGTCTGGAGCTGGGGCGGTGGAGGCTTTGGCCGCTTGGGCCACGGCGACGAGCAGATCCAGCTGCTGCCGAAGAAGGCCGAGGCTTTTGCTGGCCAGCGCGTCGTCGCCGTGTCGGCTGGAGCCCAGCACAGCCTCGCCCTCACCGCCAACGGCGGTGTCTGGAGCTGGGGCCGTGCATCCTCTGGCCAGCTGGGCCACGGCGACACGCAGAATCAGCTGCTGCCGAAGAAGGCCGAGGCTTTTGCTGGCCAGCGCGTCGTCGCCGTATCGTCTGGAGCCCACCATAGCCTCGCCCTCACCGCCGACGGCGCCGTCTGGAGCTGGGGCCGTGGAGGCGAAGGCCGGTTGGGCCACGGCAACCAGCAGTACCAGCTGCTGCCCAAGAAGATCGAGGCCTTTGCTGGCCAGCGCGTCGTCGCTGTGTCGGGTGGAGGATACCACAGCCTCGCCATCACCGCCGACGGCGCCGTCTTTACCTGGGGCAAGGGCGAGGCCGGCTACCTAGGCCACGGAGAGGACCTGTCGAACCAGCTGCTGCCCAAGAAGGTCGAGGCGTGTGCGCCGGAGCAGGGTTGAGAAATGGCGAAAGGGTGCAAGGCTCTGTGTTGCCGCGTCGCCCACATGCCTATTCGCTACCTGAGAACGTATCCGAGAGTGGCGAGAGATGCGAGACCGCCGCGATTTCTTTTTCCTGGTTCCCCTCACTCGCTTGTCGCTGTGGCCTCCTGAAGGCGACGAGCGTGCCGTGTTCCCAACCCCGTCGCCGCCTACGCCTTCCGCTGCCGCCGCCAGCCTGTGCCGCCGCCGCCGCCTTCCAATATGGCACGCTTCGTCGCCGCTGTCGTGCAGGCCGCGCCGGTCTGGATGGACCGTGCGGCGACGACAAAGAAGGCATGCCGCCTCATCCACGAGGCTTCACAGCAGGGAGCACGCATTGTCGCCTTCCCCGAGTCCTTCATTCCCGCGTTTCCCTACGGCGTGTGGCATCACGGCGTGCGACGCAACATGCGTTTCTACCAGCAGCTGACCGAGTGCGCGGTCTCGCTCGACGGCCCAGAGATTTCCATGATACAGGAACGAATGGTCTCGCAGTGACGCCCGTCCATATCACTCCCACTGCCATCCCTCTCCTTCCAACGCCACAGGTTGCTGCGCGAAAGGCGGGATGCGTCGTGGTGATGGGCGTGACGGAGCGAGACGGCGGCAGCCTTTTCAACTCCCAGGTCTTTGTGGGAGCCGACGGCACCCTCCTGGGACGGCGACGGAAGCTCAAGCCCACGAGCGCCGAGCGGCTCATTTGGGGCGAGGGCGACGGGTCGGGGCTGCGCGTGTTTGACACGGGCGAAACTGCTGGCCGCGTCGGCGGTCTGATCTGTGGAGAGCACAACCTCGCCCTCGCCCGGTACACCATGCAGAGCCAGCAGGAGCAGGCGGGGCTTGCCGCCAGACGCGGCAGGGGCGCCCTCTCTGCAGTGGCGCCATCTGCACTTCTTTGGTGTTCCACTCTTAGGTGCACGTCGCCTCGTACCCCGACCCACGAATGGAAGGGCGGCCGTTTGCGGAGCGCGTCGATGCGGCCGTGCGGCACTACGCGGCGGAGGGTCAGTGCTTCGTCCTCAACGCCACCGCTCTGCTCGATGACGCCGCGCGCGCAGCCCTTTACGACACGGCCGAGCTCGCCTCCCTAGATGGGGAGTACGAAACCTAGAGGACGCGTATTCAACTTTTGTTCGCTCTACTTGCATGCCTGTATTCGCGCGGTGAAACGTACTGCGGCGGTCCCGTGCTCCCGCCCTGACTCTGGTGTACCCGCACTGTAGGCTCGCCTCCGAGCTGGATCGAGACCCGCAGGCGCTCTCCGGCTGCTCGTCGATCATCGCACCCGACGGGCGGTGCGCGTGACCTCGGCTGATCTCCGCTGATCTCGGCTGATCTCGGCTGATCTCCGCTGATCTCCGCTGATCTCTGGTTGGCATGCCAGGCACATTGCCGGCCCCGTGAGCGGTCGCGAGGCGATCCTCACCGCGGAGGTCGACCTCGGCCGCATCCCGCTCTCCAAGTTTTGGTTCGACCCGCCCGGCCACTCTGGCAGACCCGACGTCTTCGACCTCCGGGTCTGCTTTGGTGGCGCAGGCGGGAGCGGCTGGTCTGCGGCGTGTGAGCCACCTCCAGCGCCGCCGCCGAAGCCGCCACCGCCGCTGCAGCCGCCGCCGCCGCGACAGCCGCCGCCGCCGCTACAGCCGCCGCGACCGCCGCCCCCGATCGCCACCACGCTGGCCGGCGGTGCGGCGGCTGCGCGGCAGCTCGGCTTGCGCATCAATTTGGGTGGCGCGAGCCTCGCCGACGTGGAGGGCGACACCTTGGCTGCGGTCCTCGACGCCGTGTGGCGGCACGGCGTCGTGTGTGTGGAGGCGCAGGCGCTCGACGCCGCCGCGATGCTGCGCCTCGCGCACCGCGTCGGGGAGCCGCTCACCCTCCCACCCTGCTTCTTCGAGGGCATGCGGGACCCGGCTCTGCCGCAGGTAACCCTGACCCTGGCCCTGACCCTGACCCTGACCCTGGCCCTGACCCTGACCCTGACCCTGACCCTGACCCTGACCCTGACCCTGACCCTGACCCTGGGCCTGAGCCCCGGCTCTGCCGCAGGTAACCCTGACCCTGACCCTGGCCCTGACCCTGACCCTGACCCTGAGCCCCGGCTCTGCCCCGGCTCTGCCGTAGGTCTGCCGCGTGGGCAACCTCCGGCCCGGCGCGGAGAGCGCGGCAGACACCTCGACGGCGCCGGAGCTGCTGGTGCGCGGCATGAAGTTTGCAGAGTATTGGCACCATGTCGGCAACCTCCTGGACACTTCCTAGACACTCCCTAGACACTCCCTAGACACTGCCTAGGCATCACGACGGCAACTTCTACGCGCCGCCGCGCAACGCCGTGCTCAACGCGCTGCACGCCAAGGTCGTTCCCGACGTCGGCGGCGCCACACGCTTCCTCGACTCCACGGGTGAGATCCGCGCCCGCGGGCCGCATCTGGGAAGCTTCTCGGAGCCTTCCCCGGACCCTTCCCCGAATGTACCCATGCAGGCGCGATCCGCGCCGGCGCGGCGCCCGCCGGCGTCTTCTCGCTCGACGAGCTGGCGGCACTGGCGCACTCGACGCTCACCGTCTCGGCCGACTGCATCTCCGACTTTGCGGGCGCGCCCGATGCGGACATCACGCCGCTCGGCATGCCGCACGTCCACCCGGCGCTCCAGCCCCACCCGCGGACGGGCGAGGAGTGCTTGTACTTGCCGCTCAACCCGGAGGGCCTGTACGACGCTCGCTCGCGCTTGCACTGGGCGACGAACGCCAGCGTGTGGTCGCGCCTCGAGGAGTCGGGCTTCGCATACGACCACGCGTGGTGCGAGGGGGACTTGCTGCTGTGGGACAACCTGCAGGTGTTGCACCGCGCAGGTGGTGGCTCTGGTGACAGGCCGCGGCTACTGCTGCGCACGCAGACGATGTACAGCTGAGGAGGTGTATCAAGGAGACTGAGACAGATACTCCTCTTATGTGGGACCGGGTAGATACCGTCGAGAGCACCCAGGTAGGTAGGAGCCGTACTTGCGCTCTCTTTCTTGTGTGTATCGTGTGAGTTTGACCGCGTTTATGTCCATGCACTCGCCAGCCCGAGGCCGCAATGTACCCGGGCGGAGGCCGCACAGCGCGTCTGCGTAGGTGACGCGAGCGTCCACGTACGTACCACGACCGAGAGCCGCGGCCGCTGGCATCGACAGTGAGCTCACTCGTGATCTCTTCCCCGGTAGAAAGGCGCACACCGGTCACATTCCCGCCGAGGAGACCGGCTACTCTCTCACCGCTGCGCAGCGATATGAGCTGCTTCTCCAGCGCTCGGCGGCGAACCGTATGTTCGATGAGCGGCCTGCTTGCCAAGATCGTGCCGATGCCCTCACCCGCGGCGAGGCTGCTCTCGCGCCACATGCCTCCCATGTTTGACTTGACAGATCCCGCCGCGCAGAAGTCGATGCGCTCGCCGCCCGCCGCAACCAGGTCGTCGAGCACCCCTGGTAGAATTTCCTCTGCCGCACGCGCCCCACTGGCGAGCAGGGTGTGCAGGTGGCGAGCCTGCGGCACACCGATTCTACCCCTCAGCCGCCGCTGCACTGCGTCGCTGTCCACGCCCCCCGCGTCTGCTTCGAGCGCGTCTTTCTCGATCAGAGTTACGCGCCATCCCTGGTCAACGAGCACGGATGCCGTGAAAAGTCCAGCGAAGGAGGACCCGAGGACGACGGGCTCCGCTCCAGCCAGCGATGGACGCTCGCGCCGGGGACCGCACGATCGGTGTTGGGTCTGCCTGTAATTGCTGACCAAGCCTCTCACCACCGTCAGCGCAGATAGGTAGTAGAGGTGCGTCCCGAGTGGCATTATGTAGGCATCCGGTCGGCGACGTGCATGTTGGGGACGGGCTGGATGCGTCCGCTTTTGCGTTCACAGCGACTCCCGTTCCTAGAGGTGGGACCCCACCTGCGCGAGCAGGATCTTGTAAGGACGATCAGGGACACAGGGGAACGGGAGCGGGGAGCGCATCGCGACACGGAGGGGGGCTGGGCAGGGTTCACCCACACGACAGGGTCCCAGGGATTCCCCTCTCGTATAGGACAAAGTTGCACCCGGCGGCACGGGGGCAGGCGCGGGCCTCCTACTGGTTGCGCTCTCCTAGTTCTCCTGCTACTGACAAAAGGGACAGCGACAGGTTCGCAGCACGGTGGACTCCCTATTCCACTGGCGATCTCTCTCGACTAGCGACCTTCCTCCGGCTTCTCACTGGCAGTCTCTCACTAGCCCGTGTGCTGTGAGAGAGGCTTGTTTTTTAAGAATTCTTCTAGCACGTGCCAGTTCGCACCTGTGTCGAGCCTGTGTGCTGTGAGGGGACTTGTGTTCTCTAAATTCTTCTTTGAACTCTGTTCCCCCACATCATCATACACTCGCACGCATGGTTCTTGGTCGTCGCTCACTCAGCTCGCTCGCGCGGCCAGTCGTTACGCGGCTCACGTACCCTGCTCGGCCGCCTCGTGGCACACAGAACGGACGTGTCGTCACACCAGCGCACTGGGAGAAGATCGGCGGCATCTTCCCACAGGAGCCATGGCGGGGTGCGCTGTCGCTCCTCCACACCGCCTTTGCTCTACACTGCCTCTGTGTGCTGCGCGTGGGTTCATGCATGACTCCACAGCCTCTCGTCACCATCATCCCTCCTCCCAGGTGACAGCTCAACGCTGCACGATGAGGAGGACCCACGCACGCTCGAGGTTCGCGACGCGCGGCAGGCAGCATCGCCGCTGACGCTCCGCCGCAGTGGCTTCGAGCTTCGCCACTGGCCGTCAGCCGTGGTCGACTTTTACAACGACGACCTGATCCGATCGCAGTACTACCCGGAGACGGCAGAGCTGGTCCGAGCGGCCTGTGGCGCGGAGGACGTGTTTGTCTTTCAGCACATGCGCCGCGACTCGAGCGCGCTTAACAAGGAGAGTGGCGAGGAGTGGTCTTACGTGTATGATATCATCAAGCCATGACAGATCATCACTGTTGTAGGAGAGCGGCGGCGCGCGCAACGCCGCCGAGGCAAAGGCGCACGGTGCGGTGCAGCGCGTGCACGCCGACTACACACCAGAGAACGGTCCTCGCAAGCTCCGTGAGCTGGCGGAGGCGGGCGTGGTGTCAGAGCGCGAGATCGCGCACCGGCGCTGGTCGATCGTCAACGTGTGGTGCCGTTGCGTCGCCAGCGAGCGCACCGCGCTGCCCTGCAGACGATCACGGCCGATGCAATGTCAACGAGCTAGGCGCTCGATCGACGCCGAGCAGCCAGTGCGCGCGCAGCCGCTAGCCGTGCGGCGGCACTAGATGCAGTACGTTTGTACGTTTGTAGCCCACGAGAGGTCTGGCCCGCGTGTGCATCCTCTCTTCCTGCCCTGCTCAGCGGGTGCTCGGCTACGCGCTCCTGCTTGCACAGGTCCTGGACGCGTCCACGGTCGCAGCCGAGGACACGTTCACGTACGCGCTGGTGATGGACGAGGCCGAGCCGCCCCTCGTCGGCTTCAACAACGGGGTTGCGGCTACTCGGCTATATCTCGGCTAAATCTCGGCTAAATCTCGGCTATATCTCGGACTCATCTCAGACACATCTCGGCTAGATCTCGCTCGTTGGCTCCAACAGCACGGGGCCGCCTTGGCACCGAGGAAGGAGGCCCCTCGACGCGCCGAGCTGGCCCCGCCCTCCGCGGCGCGTCCCCGCAGGTTGGCTTCTCCGAGCGGCACGCCTGGTACTACTACCCGCACATGCGGCACGAGGAGGCGCTGCTCTTCTACACGTACGACGGCACTGCGCCACTCGAGGGGCCCCGCTTCGTCTTCCACACCGCACTCGGCGACACGGGCGGCGGCGGCGAGGCGGCCGCGCCGCCGCGCAGGAGCATCGAGTGCCGCTGCCTCGCGCTCTTCAGCTAGGCGGGCAGACGCGTGGAGCCCGTGCACGATCGCCGGCTGTACTGTGCCGTTCCACGAGGCTGGTACGCACCGCCTCTGTAGTAGTGCTCACCACACGGCGGGCGCACGGCGGCCGCATGCGCGCCAGTCGGGGTGTCGGGGTGTCGCCCAGTCGTCTTGTGTGACCCTTCCTCCCCCACGTGCTGATGAGCCGGCTTGGGTGGCCGGTGAGGCGTGCGTGGCCACGGTGAGAGCGTGAGAGGCGGCGTGCGGGTCCACAGTAGAAGGCAGGCCCCGTTTTCGAGCCGATGTACTCTTACTATACATGTTCTGGTCACTCAGGGGGATCACACCTCACAAAAAGAAGGAATTCACGTTGCCATAGAACTCGAAACCAAAGGGAAATTTTACCCTCAGAACGTCCGACCGGCCGCCTTCACGACCCCTCCTCACTGCTCAAGCGCCCACGCCTTCGATCTTCTTGGGCAGCAGCTGGTTTGACAGGTCCTCCCCGTGGCCCAGGCAGCCGTCCTCGCCCTTGCCCCAGGTAAACACGGCGCCGTCGGCGGTGATTGCTAGGTTGTGCTGCTCGCCCGCCGACACAGCGACGACGCGCTGGCCAGCAAAGGCCTCGACCTGCTGCGGCTGCCGCTGGCCCTGCGCGTCGCCGTGGCCCAGCTTGCCACAGTATCCGCCGCCCCAGCTCCACACAGCGCCGTTGGCGGTGAGGGCGAGGCTGTGACTGCCTCCAGCCGACACGGCGACGACGCGCTGGTCAGCCAAGGCCTCGATCTTCTTCGGCAGCAGCTGGTCCTGCCTGTCGCCGTGGCCCAGCTTGCCATCGGCTCCACCGCCCCAGCTCCAGAGGGCGCCATCGGCGGTGATGGCGAGGCTGTGGACGATCCCCGCACACACAGCGACGACGCGCTGGCCAGTAAAGGCCTCAATCTTCTTCGGCAGCAGCTGGAACTGCTCGTCGCCGTGGCCCAGGCGGCCGAATATTCCCGAGCCCCAGCTCCAGACAGCGCCATCGGCGGTGATGGCGAGGCTGTGCTCGCCTCCTGCCGAGACGGCGACGACGCGCCGCCCCGCCAAGGCCTCAGCCTTCTTCGGCAGCAGTTGCTCCTGCTGGTCGCCGTGGCCCAACCGGCCTTGCCCTCCCCAGCCCCAGCTCCAGACAGCGCCATCGGCGGTGATGGCGAGGCTGTGCTGGCCTCGAGCCGACACAGCGACGACGCGCTGGCCAGCAAAGGCCTCGACCTTCTTCGGCTGCCACTGGTGTTGCCCGTCGCCGTGGCCCAGGCGGCCAGAGTCTCCATAGCCCCAGCTCCAGACGGAGCCGTCGGCGGTGATGGCGAGGTTGTGGTAGACTCCAGCCGACACGCTCGCAGCACGCTCGTCGCCCAGCGGGGAGGAGGGGAGGAGAGTCGTCGTGTTGAGCCGCGTCACCCCCTCACCGTGCCCGAGTAGTCCTGGATAGAAAGGCGGCGCAGAGCCGCACGACGAGAGCCGCCCCTCGCCGTCGATGAAGACGCTGTGCGTATTGCCTGCCGCCGCCCTCGCCGGCGGGTTGGACTCGCGCAGCAGCGCATAATAGCACAGCCACCGCAAGGCGCAGCTCTCGCCCTCTGGCTGCGCCGGCAGCTCGAAGCCGCGCCCTTGCGCCCACAAGCGGATGCCCTGCTCCGCAAGCGAGGCGTGGAAGAGCAGCGAGACGGCCGCGACGCGAGCGATATCGGCGGGGCTGTCGAAGCGGGAGAGGACGCGCTCGAGGAGCTCCCTGGGGAGGTCGAGGAGGCGGGCGGGCGGCGGCGCGTCTGGCGAGGGGGCGGCGGTGGAGGCGGAGGCGAGGCGGCGCGAGCGGCGACGCGGCGGGGTGGACATCGCGAGAAAGAAAAACTACTGGTGAAGAACGAAGGCGCTCTCAAAAGAAAAATTCCCGCGACAACCACAACATCAGCGCAGCTTTGCTCACTACTCCCCAACGAGGCCCGCCTCCCTCAACCTCTTTTCGACCTCATCCTCGAGCGCGTGGATCCGCCGCGGGAAGGGGTGCCAGATGTACGCCTCCTGCACCTCGTCGGGCTGGACGCACCAGCCGAGGTGGTACCGGCGCGGCAGCTCGTACCAGGCCACGTTGCGGGAGGCGAAGAAGGCGGCGAGGAAGCCCTGGTCCCCGCTGTCGTAAGAGCGCGTAAAGGCCGCCGCGCGGCGCATCGCCTCGTATACGTCGCGGCTCGGCGTGAGCACCAGCATCCCGTCGGCGGTGCTCGCGTTCGGGGGCCAGTAGCGGGGCGAGCTCGAGGGGAAGTCCGGCTCGGCGACGGACCCGCCACCGGCCGCCGCGCGTCGCCGCGGTGCGCCTTAAAGCGTTGAACCCCCATTTTGAGTCTAGTGCCGCGGCCGGCGTGGAGACGCTGAAGAGGTGGTCGATGTTGCGCCGCACGATGTCCGTGTCCAAGGAGACGACCTTGTCGTACTCGAGGCTCCACGCGTCGAGCTGGACAGCGAGACAGGTCAGCGTGGGTGAGCGTTGAGCCGGAAGGGCGAGCCGGAAGGCAGTGTGGGTGGGTATCATGGGTATCATCGCGCCCCCTTCAGTCTGTGTGGGTGGTATCACGGGAAGGGGGAGGGCGAGGGCGAGGGTACGCCGGTGCCGCACGCCTTTGCGAAAGTCACGTGCCGCTTGTGCGCCTTGTCGAGGCCCTCTGGTGGAGGCGCAAGCCGCACGAGAGCCGCACGCCAAGCCGCCGGAACGGGGCGAGGTCCGGGGCAGGCACGCCGTCGCTGAGCAGCACGATGCTGCGCCGCGTCTTGGTCCACACGAGAGAGACCACCGCGATAGTCGTAAAGTTTGAAATCACAAACATAAAGAGGGCGGAACGCCGCGACAATTCGAATGCGAAATCGGGCGGCGAACCGATCGGAGAAGTCGACGTGACGCAAACTTGCACATGAAACCACAGCCCCCCGGGGCGCCAACTCGCACCCGACGTACCGAGCTCCACAGCCTTGACCCGCGCCCGATATGGTTTCGTCCTTCTCGCCGTCGGCCGAGGCGCACCGCCTGGTCATCCACCAACGCACATCAACCTCTCCATCAATCAGGCAGGCCCGTGGAGCACACGGCCTCCTCTCGTCGACGCGCCAACGTTACAGTGGTGTCCGGTTGGCGCGATCACCGAGCTGTGACGCTCAGGGAAGCCTGATGAGGTGCTGGTTTCTTTGCCCAGGCCTGGCCTTGAGGTTAGGGGAGAATCCTACTGTATGGTATCTAGATACTTCGGCGGGTTACGGTTTAGCGCGCCGACAGACCGCCCTCTCCATCACCCTCGCCCAGGGATCTACAATGCTGTCTTAAGGTCCGACAGGTTCGGCACCGGGCACCGCCTCGGTATACAAAATGCGCCCGCGGGCGGACCCTTACAGATCACAGATCACTTGTAAGATAGCTTCAGATATAATGGGACTTGTAAGATAGCTTCAGATATAATGGGCAAAAATCGGGGATGATTTTGTAACGATGGCTGCTTCTCCAGCCGCGTCGAGGCTTGGACCGAGGAGCCGCTGGAGCTGTGGCGCAAGCGCGGCGGCGGCGACCTGGAGCCGGTCCTCGCGAGCGGCGCCTTCGCCCTCCTCGACGCGCAGTGGATCATCAGCCACGCCGAGGCGGGGGGCGTCCTCTCTCACCGCCAGGCGCTGCCCAAAGAGGCCTTCCTCTCCCTCGCCGACCTCGTCGAGGCGATCTGCGAGCGTGTGGACTGGCTTCCCATCACGCCTTACGGCCTACCCGTCGCCGTGCTCTCCTACCCGTGGCTGACCAAGGACCACCCCGACCCGATCGGAGCCAACCTCTCCCGCGTCGCAAGGGCGCTCAAGGCCCTGCTCAGCGATGGTGAAGCAACGGCTCGGCGTCTTTTGGGACTTCGGCTCGCTGCAACAGCACCCCAACCCTGTCGACGGCGTCCTGCGCACCGATGAGCAGAACGCGCTCTTCAAGCAGGGGCTGGGCTGCCTCGGCACGCTCTACTCCCACCCGCACACATACGTGCTGCGGCTGACCTCCTTCCCGGACGGCCACAAGGCGGAGGCCCAGGCAGAGGGCACCAACGTGGCCGAGTACTTTGACCGCGGCTGTGGTGCTCCGCCGAGAACGCCTGGGCGAGCCTGACCAAGGAAAGCGACCTCTCACTCGACCTCGGCTTGATGCGCGACGGCAAGGAATACGACTACGCCAGCCTCGTCACCGACTGCACCCAGGACGGCGGCCGGCGCCCTCCGCTGCTGCCGTCTGCCTTCGCGGCGGAGCTGGAGACGAAGAGCTTCACCAACGGCAAGGACGACAAGCCGCTCGTGAAGCGGCTGTACGAGGACGCCTTCGAGGAGCAGTTTGGCAAGGCGACCATGCTGAGCTTCAGCAACCTCGGCTGGGGCGACGCGGAGGCGGCGCAGCTGGCGGAGGTCCTCGCGAGCGGGGCGGCGCCGCAGCTCAAGAAGGTCGTTCTCCAGCTCAACGAGATTGGCGACGAGGGCTGCAAGGCGCTGGCCGCCGCCCTGAAGGAGGGGGCAGCGCCGCGGCTTGAGAGGAGCTCTCTCTCTCGCTCAACGAGATTGGCGACGAGGGCTGCAAGGCGCTGACCGCCGCCCTCAAGGAGGGCCAGCGGCGCTCATGCTAGTTTGGTCATTCGGCACCAATATACAGAAAAGGTATATCTCGCAGGAGTCGCTTAGGCGGCTCCCGTGGTGTACCTGTGCGAGGGAGTTTTGTTGTAAATTTCGTTTTCGTTTTTCGCGATGTCCACGCCACCTTGTTGTCCTGCGCAAATGCAAATGCGAGGGTACTGAATGACCCGCGAAGCTCAGAAAGAAGAATTCGCGACCACGAAAATATCCTCGCCCTTCTCTTGTGTTCTGTCGGTTTTCTTTTTGGAAAATGTGTGACAGCAGACGCCCGTGAAGGTTCACGGGGCCGACAGAGTGATGTCCTTATTCGGCCGCGCGTTGGTCAACGGACAGACACAGCGGACAGGACTCTATTCGTCGTGAACGATCTAACATGCGCTGTCACGATATCTCCACGATGGCTGCAGCTGCGGCAGGGGATCCTGGGAGTTTCCTGAGGCACTGGAGGAGCGCCTCGTTGATGCGGTCGACCAGCGCGAGGGTGGTAGGGCGCGGGACGCGGCGGATGGCAGTGATGAGGCGCACCACACGCGGCTCATCGAGCAGCGAGTGCAATTGTGCGATTGCGTGCAAAAGGTGCACGGCGACGGCAATCCGCTCGGAGGCGGGCAGCGCGAGGTAGCCTTGGAAGCGAGGCATCTCCTCCAAGTGAGAGAGCAGCTTGTCGGCCAAGCTCACATTGAACAGTTTGCTCAGCACACCCACTGTCCGGTCAACTGCTGCCATGGTGTGCATTTCCTCGAGGCACCGAGGAGTTGTAAGGTGTATGAGAAGGGGCCGCAGAGTCTCTTGGAGCACGGGCCTCGAGCCGACAGGTGGTCGGACCTCCGCCACTTGCATCAGCGCCGCCTGCGCTGCCGCGACTGTCTGCGCGTGCGGGGTGGCGTCATTTGAGAAGATGAGCCACCCAAGGAGGAGGCGGTGGATACGGTACCGGCTCAGCGGCAGCGGCGCCGTCAGTGTCGCAGCACCGAGGATCCGGACGAGGCGAGCCCGAGCTGCATCAGACGGCGGATGCAAAGCCGCGGCAGCAGCAGGGTCGGCCAGCGCCGTGCAGTCGTCGACCACCGCCGGTCCGCAGCCACCACGCGTCCACGCTCCACGCCACTGCTCCGTTCCCTCCCAACTGTGGAAGACGTGCGGGATGCATGCTGCCCATACCCGACTCACTGACGCGTTGGCGTGCATCTCGCGCAGGCCCATGTGGCCCAGGATGACTTCCACAGAGTCTCGCGAGCCGAAAACTTCGGAGCTCAGCTCCTCGGATACCGCCTGCGCGCCAGAATGCCTCCGCGCCGTGGGGACGTCGTTTGCGAGCAGCGCGTCCATGCGGCCCAGGAGCGTGCGAACGTCGTCCGCATCCTGGCGTGCGATCGGTGTGCCGCCGGCCTCGGCCACTCTCACACGCTCGACGAGCGCCTGCATGTGCATGTGAAAGCACCGCTTGGTGGTGTGTGTTTCCGCCGGTCGGAGGTGCAGCTCGTGGTTTCCGTGTTTCTTTTGCCGGGTTTGCGTCGTGCTGCTCTAGCCTCACATGTCACTTCCTGTCGTCTGTTGTTTGTTGTGCTCTTGTTTGTTTCTCTTGGCACCTTGGAGTGCTGGGGGGGGCGACAGGGAGGATATGGCCTTGAGTTATGTGTACGCCAACTCAGGGTGTGTGGCAGCCAGCTGGCTGTGTGTCTTGTGAGCCTTTTGTGTCTGTGTGTCGCTCGTGCGTGTCGTCATCATCTGTCCAGCGTCCACCCATACCGCGTTGGTGTCCAGTCCGAGCCTGGCTGTTCTTCACCTTTCTACCTACCTACCTCCGTCGTCTCATCTCGCGTTGGTGTCCAGGCTCGTTGTGCGAGTATATGGGCCACGATGTCTCAAATATGAGGGGTTTTGACTCCTACCGGCTCCTGACGCTATCCCTGGCAGCTCTAATGACCAGGATCAGTAGTGCTATGATAGAGGGTGCCCACACTAGCGCAGGAGCTGCCACACTCGCCCGGACCGTCCCCTTCTGGGGCCGGTTCCGCAGCCCGCGAGAGCCGACAGCGGGGCCGTGCCGCGGGTGCCTACTGCCGAGTGCCACAAACACTGCGCCGTCCCGCCATCACCCACAGGCTGTCTTGAGTGATGGCTGGGATGTCCAAACGCCACCATCTTGGCTCTTGCGACCTCAAACCCGCGAGCTGTATGGGTGGTCCTGACGTCGACAGACGCCCGATGACCACGGTGAAGCTGAGCCGGAACGTGTCGACAAATCTCGTCTGAGCCCGTGGCGGTCGCCGGCTGAGTCGCCGTGCACGGGCCGGTACCTCAGGCGTCACCTCCGCAGCCTCAGGTCTCAAACTCCACCACCTCCGCCGGGACACCGTCGGTGGCACGCTCGGCGGCGACTTTGTGGCAGCCCCACAGCGAGCGCGGCATCGAGCCTACTCGGTCTGGTCGGTCGGCCGCACTCCCTGGGTGCCAGGGAGTGCGGCCGACACGCGAGTGGTGCTTCCTGGCGGCGCGCGCCGGCTGTGGGGCTGCCACAAACTCGAGACACGCTTTTTGGGACATTTTCGACGCTTTTGTCCCTTATACTCGCACAACAAGCCTCCAGTCCGAGCCTGGCTGTTCTTCACCTTTCTACCTACCTACCTATCATCTGTCCAGCGTCCACCCATACCGCGTTGGTGTCCAGTCCGAGCCTGGCTGTTCTTCACCTTTCTACCTACCTACCTACCTGCGTCCAACCAATCTGGTTTGGGAGCGGGGGGGGTTAGGTTTACCACGGTCCTGTGCTCGTTACCAGGATGGCATGTGCGCGCTCGGCGCGGGCTCGGATGCGCGTACGCCCGTGTCTCGAGAACAAGTTGGCGGACTAGTCTGAGCGTCGCGGATTGGAATGGAGAGGTAATTCAAACCGACCAGCACGATTCACGCGACAGGCAAGGCGCGGGCGACGGCTTCTGCAGAAGCCGTCGCCCCCACCACAGGCTCAGTCACACCAACACACCACTAGGTGCTGCGCGCACACGCCGACGTGGAGTACTCCGGCAGCGTCTGTGCCGCCGTGAGGTCGCGGCTGGGCTGGCTAGCACTACGTATACCGACGTCGGTATACTCTCGATTCGCTTTTTTTATTTTTTTGTTGTCCGACCCGTCGGCCAGGGCATGTGTTCTCGGGGTGGGTCTCCGAGACCGCAATAATATCATCAATAAGCCAGCACACACGACCCTAGGGGGCAAGACCGCGCCGCTGTACGGAGCGCTGACAAGTGCAATGCCCAGCCTCCCCCCGCTCACCGCCCACGTCGGGCCATCTACAGCCTGCGCGTCGCGGCCTTCTCGACCCCAACGACCTCGCTCACAGCTCCTCCTTTGCCGCCTCGGCCTCCGCCGCCTCGGGCAGCGGTGATGCGGCCACTCCGCTCGCCGCCTGCTCCCGCCTCCGCGCGTCGGCGCGCTGCCGCCGCTCCTCGCCGCCGCGCGCGTGCGCAAACGGGTCGCCGAACGGCTCGTGCGGGAACCGCTCCGGCCGGTAGTGCCGCTCGACGGCCTGCGCGAGCGGCCCCTGCCCCTGCCGCCGCTCGAGCTGCGCGCCCTCGTCGAAGGCGCGCCTGCACGCCGCGTCGGCGAGGCAGTCGTGCGCGGCGGCGACCGCCGCCATCGCCTGCAGAGCTCGGACAACCTCGCTCAACCTCGGTCGATCTCGGGTCATCTCGGCGAGACCGCCGCCATCACCTCGGTCGAGCCGCCCGCACGGTCGGGGTGGAGCCGCAAGCTCAGCTGGCGGTAGGCCCGCTTCAGCTCCTGCGCCGCGAAGCCACGCGCGTGTGGTGAGAGAGTCGATGAATACGGCCGGAGAGGCGGAGAGGGGGCGGGAGAGGTGCGTGTGTGATCTCCTGCGCCGAGAAGTCAACCGGCACGCCCAACCGCCAGTAGTGCCCGCGCGCGTCGGCTGCAGCGTCGGCCACCGCCGCCTCCGCCCTGCCCAGCGCGATGCGCCGCTCCTCCTCCGCCGCCGCCGCGGCCGCCACGGCCGCGGGCGAGTGCGGGGGGACGCAGCAGCGGAAGCGGAGGGGCATGCCCCAGCCGCCGCCCCCCTCGGCGGCCTTTGCGTCGATGCGCGTCACCGTGAGCCTAGGGCCGTCCTGCCGCACACGGAACGCGTCGCCGTACGCGTGGCCGTCCTCCCAGTTGAGCTTGTCGACCACCTCGGGGCAGACCTGAGGGACACGTCCACGACACGTCCACACGGCGTGTCCTGGGACGTGTCTCAGTAGGGGACTCCCGGTGCGGCGGTCTGTAGGTCTGCCAGGCGCGTCCCCGGGGCGGGGGCGGGTGGCCGAGCACACACACACACACACACACACACACACACACACACACACACACACACACACACACACACACACACACACACACATCTCCCCATATCTCGCCTGTGCGCGGCTCGACACGCCGCGAGAGATAGAGAGGTGTGTGTGACAGAGGCGGAGAGGAGGCGGGAGAGGTGCGTGAGATGAGAAGTTGAATGAACGCCATCAGAGAGTCCCAGCAGCGGAGATGCCGCTGCAAGCGCGCTCTTCCCCCAGCCGAACCCGCCACCGCGTGTGAGGCGGTGTGTGTTGCGTGAGGAGAGGCAACCACGACTACGAGGCGCCCGACTGGCGGTGCGGCTGCCTCTCGGACCAAAAGCAGTGCCACCCGGTGCAAGGGGTGGCCGAGCAGTCCCTCTCACACTCCCAGAACAAGCGGGCAGCTGGCCTCTCAGAGGGGCGACGCGTTCGGAGAGCTACGGGGGCACACCGCCGCGGGGTCCGCGAGACAGCAGTGCCCCTTCTCCCCGTCTCTCCCCATCTCTCCCCATGTCCATGTCTCCCCACATCTCCCCACACCGCCGCGGGGTCCGCGAGGCAGCAGTGCTCCTTCGCCGCTGCGGCGGCTCCAGCGTCGGCGGCGGCGCCTCCTGCGCCGCCGCCTGCTGCGCGCCCGCGCGGCGAGAGAAACGGCCCCACCTCGGCCACCTCGCAGCCGGGCGTCGCCGGCGGCGCCGCCTCCAGCCTCGCCTTGTCCCTCCGCGCCTGTGTCTCGGCGTTCGCCGCGAGGCTGAGCCGCTCCCGCTGCACGTGCGCGCGCACCTGTGCGAGCGGAGACCCCACCTCCGCTCTTCACACTCGCCTTGTCTCTCCGCCTGCGGGGTGTCGCTGCACGTGCTGCCGAGCTGCCGCCGCCGCTGGTGCACTGGGCGCGGCGCTGCTACCGCGCCATGTCGTGGCTGCTCGCGCTGCCTCTGCGCTGCCCACGCGCGGCTTGGCGGGCGGGCGACACCATCGCCGCTCGTGCACCAGCCGCCGCCGGGCAACGCATGTGCTGTGAGCCAGCAGGCGTGGCCTCTGCGCCGGGTGCGCGCACGAGCCAGCCGAGGAGCGCCTCGTACCTCTTCATATCTCCCCACATCTCCCCACATCTCCCCAGCGCACCAGCCAGCCGAGGATCGCCTCGTCGTCCCTCTGCAGCGAATCGAGCCGCTCGAGCGACGACAGCGCTTCGTCCGGCCTACAGAGCTCGGGCAAGCTCGGGCAAGCTCGGCCAAGCTCGGCCAATCTCGAATCATCAGAGATTTTGAGAGAGAGATTCGAGAGATCTCGGCTCGGCGGGGGTCGCTCCATCCTCCACCTCCACGCGTCCATCATCAGCAGCGCGCGCTCGAGCAGCGCGGCGGAGTAGTTTGGGTACGCGCGCAGCGCCGTGCCGAGCGCCGCCTCCGCCGCGTCGAAGCGCGCGGCGCCCAGCCGGCGCAGGCTCTGCGCGCGCCGCAGCTGCATCGCCGCGGCCGCCCACCCGCCGCTCGCCTACACACCCGACCTCGTCTCGACTCGCGTCTCGGCGCAATCTCGGCCAACCTCGCCGCCCGCCGCCAGCTCACCCGTGCGGCTCTCTCGAACAGCTCGGCCGCGCTCTCGGCCTGGTCCGCCGATAGCGCCTCCCGCGCCGCGCTCGCGTCCGCCGCCGCCGCGGCCGGCATCTCGTCCTCGGCGCCTGATCTCGGACAACCTCGGGTCGTCTTGGGGCCACGCCGGCCGCGGCGGAATATGTGTCGTCCTCGCCACCCGCGTGCGGGGCGGTGCCCGTGGGAGGCGGCGGCGCCGCCGCGCCAGAAAGCATCAGCCGCGCCGCTCGGCGTTCGGCCGCGGCGGCCGTCGCTGCGCGGTGCGCCTCGGCCTCCTTCCGCAGCGACTCGAGCCTCGCGGCGTCTCGCAGCCCAATCACCTGCCACGGCGGCTCGTCCTCCGGAGCCGTTCGGGACTGTCTCGGAACTATCTCGGAGCTGTCTCGGAGCGGTCTCGGAGCTGTCTCGGAGCGGTCTCGGAGCTGTCTCGGAGCGGTCTCGGAGCTGTCTCGGAGCGGTCTCGGAACTATGTCGGAAAGGACCTGCCAAGGGAGCTCGTCTTCGTCGTCCTCCGCCGCGACCCGCACTGCGCCGCCGCCCGCCGCCGCGCCGCCGCCGCCGCCGCCGCCTTCGGTGCCGCCCGTCTTCGCTGCCGCCGCCTCCGCCTCGGAAGGCGGCACGCGGGAGACACGATGCAGGTGGGACCAGCGCCGCCCAGAGGAGGGGATCAGCGAGTCTCCGGGGCAGGCGAACCGCTCGCGGAAGTTTGCGTCGAAGAGCACCCATTCGTGGTCTCTGCCGCCGGGCTTCTGCACGTGCGCGAGCGTCCACCCGCTGTGGCTGTGCGGGTAGGCGCCGTGCCCGACGGTGGAGGCCAGCGAGGGTGGCAGGGCGCTCGTCGCTGCGGCGGAGTCCAGCCGCGGGCCGAAGACTCCATTCATCGGGTCGATGCTGCTTCCCGTCACAAAGAAGCCGAGTACGGGCTCAGAGAGCCGCACGTACCCGCCAAAGCGCGGGCCGCCGCCGCCGCCGCCGCCCGAGTAGGGCGTCACTCCGCCGGGCGCTACCATTTGCTGGCCGGCGGTGCTCGCGAGGAGGAGCAGAGCAGAGGCGGCACGCATGATTGCAGCGCAGAGCGCGCGAAGAGCTATACCACGGAGAGGTAGCGCCGACTCGGCCTGCGGCCAAACTCGGCGCCGCCGCCTTGATAAGCTGTGGGCCGCTCGCAGTCTGGTCGTGGTCGAGACCGAGGTGCCGAACTGAGAGGCACTACTGGAGGCTTCCTCCGGCCACCGCTCGACTACCCACGCACATGGCCGGTCCTGTGGCTTGCCTGGACTCGCTCAGAAGCCTCAATTTGCGCACACCTTTGCTCTCTGGCTCCCGCGAGTGCGTTCAGGCCACTCAAGCAGGCGACGCCAAGCACCCGCAATGCATCTCGCCGGGGCGCCACCTATCGACCCGACTGATTGGCAGCATCAAAGCCGACCCCATGACGGTCCTTCAGCCCCACGAGGTAGGCAGTTGCGCCCTGATCTCGGTCCAAGACGGCCAACGCCGTGTCCGGCACCTGCTGACTGCTTCACGGGGATGCCCCCCCCGGACACATGCTGCAGCCCCGAGTGGATGTATTGGTCGTTTGTGGGTCCCCCAAGACTACTCTAGTAGGGGCCGGGCGCTTGAGCGTCGGCGGTACACCTGTGCAGATGTTGCACGGGTGAAATGGCTCCTCGTACAGGGTAGGAGGCAGGTGGTGGGTTTGAGTGTCGTGAGTGCTTGCAGCCGCGAGTGCAGCACCGTTTGTGACTCCCATGGATGCAGTTGGGTGGGGCACGGTGCTGGGGGGCGGTCCGGTGCGCCACAACAGCCTCCCTGGCTGACCCCCATCCAGTTCGGCACCTCCATCCTGACCGTGGAACCCCAACTTCAACCGGTCATATCTCGGGCGGACTGGCACCTCAGGAGCTCATCCTGGGCGGTTTGGGGAAGTCTTGGGGGTGTACTTGAAGGTGGGAAAAAGAGTTTTGCACGAGATCTTAACCGGGGGGCAGTCTGAGCACCGTGAAAACAGCGGCCCACAGCTTATTTCAAAACGCCTACACACACACTCTATTCGCGGGGGCGGAGGTGTGCGTGCAGACCCCAATCGGGTCCGATTTCGCTGCCGCCTCGCGCCGCTGCTGCCCTCGCCAGCAAGCAGCCGCCGCGGTGCGCGGTTGCAGCGCCATCCATCGTGCGGCCTGGCGGTCGACTCGCCCTCGGCCTCCGCTGGCGGCTGCCGCAAGAGCGGCTGGCTCACGACAGCGTCTTACCGGTTTCGGGTGGGAGAGTACAGGACGTCTGGCGAGTAACTGTGTATGTAAGTGAGATCGGTCTTGGTACCAGGCACGGTCGAACAAGAGAGAGAGATTTTTAGCAATGCCAAACAATGCGAAACACTCGTTTACGTTCCCCGACCCCGGTCCCTACCCCCGCCTGCGCCGTGCGCGGCGCGGCTCTACTCGTAGTGAGGACGAGAGCCATCTCTGATCTCATAACGCACATCTCTCCACACCGCGACTCATCGTTATCCTCTCCTGACAACCTGAGACTCTCCGACCTAGGGCTAATGCTGAACGTACTCAACAGATAGTAGACGTCTCATTGGACATTGAACGACTGAACACGACGGCACAGGCCACATGGCTGTGGCTGCCTCAATCGGACACTCCAAGCGGACACTCTCTCACGCGGCCCGCACCGCCATCCGGCATGTTGACCACGAGTTCTCTCCCGACAGCTCTTCGAGCGGATCGAGCCAGAAGTCCGTCTGCCGCGCCGAGAGCTTCGCCAGACACGTCTGGGGCTCATTCGACCACATGGGCGGCGGAGGCCCAGTCTCAGAGGCGGGAGCCTCCGTCCCCGTGCTGTTGTGAGGCCAACTGATGCACCTCGGCGAATCGGGCGACTGACTCTCAAGCGCGACAGCGTCGAGGCATGCCTCGAGCATACACAGCATCTCGAGCTCGTCTCTGTCTTTGATCCAGTCGCGCAGCTCCTGTGACGTCACTCCAAACTCGCGGCACGTCGGGCTGATGCGATACCAGACGGGGCGCGCACGCGCAGCGCGGACTGCACGGAGCTTGAAGCGAGCCGTGCGTGAGTCGCGCTCCGCCGCCGTGTCGGTTGTGGACACGCACGGACTGCACAGAGCCGCCATCGTGTCCAGGACGGTTCGCTCGGGCGCCTCCAAAAGGCAATCGCTGAGGCGTGTCAATCGTGCGGCCTTTTCTTCTTTTATTTATTTTCTTTCCGTCGATTCCTTTCTCATAACACAGATGCCAGGGGCGGGGCTTGCATTTTTGCCGTCGCCAGTCGCCCCCCCAAACGCAGATCCCTCTTTGGTATGGTTTCTTTCTTTTTCCTCAAGGTACACCTCACCTCGGGAGCCGCCTAATAAGCGACTCCTGCGAGGACGACGAGGAACTTCTGACATTCTCTTTCCTGGGGGCAGGGGACCACGGGTCGCTGGCATACTAGGGGGGGAAGGGTGGTGGGCGGCGACCGCCGCATACCGTCCTATGGCGGCGAGAGTATCGCTACGCCAGGGAGGACAAGGTCAAGGACGCTGCTGTTCGTTCGAGTCGTTCGGTCGGTGGGTTGGGAAGGGGGTCGTCGAGATCGTATCAAGCCGCGTTTCTTCAAGCAGGGTGGGCCGGTCTCTTCGACGGCGCCTACCTAAGGGGTTGCCGTCTGCTGTGCTCCTTTTGGTAGGAATTCCTACCTGTGTCGAACCTGTGTCGGTGAGAGAGAGTTCTGTTTGTTGAATTCTTCAAGCAGTGTGTGCCAGTCCGCGCCAGTCCGCGCCCTTGCGGTCTCAGCCCTACCTGGCCGTTCTATATTATAGAATGGCATCCTATAATGTAGAATGGCGTCTCGCGCGCGCTCACCCGGCCGCCTCGCAGCCCCAGCGGCCGGGGGGCGCTTGCCGGGGTTGAGGCTGGTCACACACAGGCGCCACTTTAACGCGGCGAGCCAGAGGAGTCACACAGGAGAGCCCCAACACGCCACATTTTCAGCAGCAGACGGGCCGCGGTGAGCGCCCATTCTATATCGAAGAATGGGGTCCGCCGCCGTCCCCCACGGCCTCCTCACGCCCCCAGCGGCAGCGTGCCGCTCGGCCAGACTGGTGGGGTTCGCGACAAGCGCCAGTTCAACACAGAGAAGCCCAACAGTCCGCAAATGAGAGTCCTCCCCCCCGCCCCGGCAAACCAGAGCAGACGCCGGGGGCCGCGTATGGCGAAAGCAAACGCACGACGGCCGCCGGCGGCCGTTGAGCCGCTGCCGCCGTTCGAGCCTTGGATGTCCGTCCGTCGCCGCCTGTGGCGAGGGCAGTGGAAGTGTGAGATTTGTGCTCGCAAGTGGTGGGCGGGCGAAAGGGTCGGGCGGCAGAAGTGAGCAGACAGCGCGAATGCGGTCTACCTGTGTCACATCATCTACTCCTCGTGTCACCTAGTCATGGTCCTCGCTTCCCTGCCCGATCTCCGAGTCCTGCGCCTCGCCTGAGTCCTCGTCCAAGTTCGAGTAGTCCTCTCCTCGTCTTCGTCCTCGTCTTCGTCCTCTTCGTCGATCTCGTCGAGCCGGGCGGCTCCTGGCCCGTCCCGGCCGTGACGCATGGGCCGACTTGCTAAGCGGGCGGGGAGACGGACCGCCAGCTCTGCTGCTGCCTGTGCTGCCCGT